ATGCCTGGGCCCTTGATCTCGCGAATCTGCCTTTCGTGTGTCCTTCGGTCTGTTTCTGATTTTTTTTTTTTTCTTCTTCTTCTTCTTTCCTTTTCTGTTTCCTTTTTTTTCCTATTGGATATCCGGAAGTATTTTTTCTTTGTCTGTGTCTCTTGTTTCTGTTTCTCTCTCTCTCTTTCTCTTTCTCTGTCTCTGTCTCTTTCTCTCTTTTCCACCTCTCTCTCTCTCTCTCTCTCTCTCTCTCTCTCTCTCTCTCTCTCTCTATTATATATAATATATATATATATATATATATATATATATATATATATATATATATATATATATATATATATATCCCTTCCTTCCCTCTCCGTGTTTTAATATCTCTTTCCCTTACTCATATGAATACAAAATATATATGTATATATATTATATATATATATTATATATATATATATATATATATATATTTATATATATATATATATATATATATATATATATATATAAATATATATATATATATATATATATATATATATATATATATATATATATATATATATATATATATAAGAATAAAGCAATAACATAATTTTTTAAAACATATATAGGCAAAAAATATATAAGAAAAGAAAAGAAAGAAACGAGAAAGAAAGAAATGAAAATAGAGTAAACAGCAGAATTAACGACCAGCATTGGCCCCTCGTTCGGCCAGCTTCTCATCACAGCTCCGTTTGGGCTGTCGCTTCAGAACCCATGGCGAATTTTCTCTTTTTTTGAATCAATAACCCTTCCTTTTCTTATTATTTTTATTCCTTTTTTCTTTTTCTTTTCTCCTTATTCCTTTTTTTTAATCAATAACCTTTTTTTCTTCTTCCTTTCCTTCTTTTTTTTCCTTATTCCTTTTTTTTCGTCTTTTCTCCTTATTCTTTTTTTTTAATCAATAACCCTTCCTTTTTCTTCTTTATTCATCTTATTCTATTTTTTTAAAATCAATAACCCTTCCTTTTTCCTCTTCTTTTTTCTCCCTTTTTCCTCTCCTTTTCTCCTTAATAATTTTTTAAACCAATAACCCTTCCTTTTTCTTCTCTTTTTCTCTTTATTCCTTTTCTTCTCCTTTTTTCTCCTTATATATTCCTTCATATTTTTCTCTTATTTTCTTTCTTCTTTTTTTCTCCCTATTCCTTTTCATATTTTTTCTCTTATTCCATTTTTTTTCTCCCTATTCCTTTTCATATTTTTTCTCCTTATTCCCTTTTCTTCTTTTTTCTCCTATCCTTTCATCTTTTTTCTCTTTACTCATTTTTCTTCTTCTTTTTTTCTCCCTATTCCCTTTCATCTTCCGAATCTTGTTCAAAGACACGCGGTTCACTGGCTTTGGACTGTAATGAACTTGAGTGAACTAATAGGATTTATGTGTACATTTCATAAGCGTTTCTGGTCGCTTGTGAATTTCGGGTTGGGAATGTCCTCGGCAGATTTCTAGGATTTCTAGGGCGCCGATTTAATCTTTTACGTTCTCTTTCTTAAGATTTTTATTTCTTTCTTTCTTTAATTTTTTTTTTTTTTTTTTTTTTTTTTTTTTTTTTTTTTTTTTTTTTTTTGCTTGCTTGTCTCTTTGTTTTCCTTTAAGTGTAGGTCGTTGCTTTAATCTTTTTCCTTTCTCCATCTGATTCTTTTCTTTTCTTTCTTTCTTTCTTTTTTTTTCTTTTTTTTTTTTTTTTTTTTGCTTGTTTGTCTCTTTGTTTTCCTTTAATTCTAGGGCGTTGCTTTAATCTTTCCTTCTTCTTCTTCTTTTCCTTTTTCTTTCTTTTATCTTGTTTTTTCTTCTTTTTTTTGGGGGGGGTTGTTTCTGAGTTTTTCTTTATTTTTTGTTTGTTTGTTTGTTTGTTAGTTTTCCTTTAACTTTTGTTTTTTTTTATCAGTTAAATGTGTTGGTTCTTTTATTTTTTGGGTGTTTTCTGTCTTTTCTCTTGCTTTCGTGTTTATTTACTCTCTTTTCTTATGTACCTTTTGTATTTTATCTATAAGACTTTATCAATATGTTTTCCTAATTTTCCCACAACTATAAATGTTCCTATTCTTTATCATTTAATCATTTTGATTTAGTTTATTTTCTATTCTATTCCCTTCCCTTTATTTATCATTTCATTATTTTAATCTATTTATTTTCTATTCTATTCCCTTCTCTTTCTTTATCATTTCATTTTAATTTTGTTTATTTTCTATTTTATTCCCTTCCCTTTATTTATTATTTCATCATTTTAATTTAGTTTTTTTTCTATTCTATTCCTTTCTCTTTCTTTCCCTCTTACCCCATTCTCTCACCATCCCATCCTTCCTCTTCTTCCTTTTCACTTCCATCTTTCTCTCTCCTCTTCTCTTTCTTTCTTTCTCTCTTATGCCATCCTCTCACCATCCCATCCTTCCTCTCCTCCTTCCTTTTCACTTACATCTTTCTCTCCTCTTCCTCTTCTCTTTCTTTCCCTATTACGCCATCCTCTCACCATCCCAT